TATTTGACAGCACACAACAGCAACAACAATAACATGTTTTATAAGAATGAGTCAGCACAGTTAATTGTCCAGGAAGAGATTGCACATCCTTCTATTGAGCAGCTGGTGGATTCTAACTGTGTGTATTCAGAGTTGCAGTAAAGCTTCATGCCACTATATACAGATATTGCCTGAAAGCAAAGAGTAACAGAAGAATATCTATCTGTGTTTTATTGACTATGCAAAGGCATTTGACTGTATGAATCACAAAAAATTGTGGTTAACCTTGAGAAGAATGGGAATTCTAAAATACTTGATTATGTTTATGCAAAATCTACACTTGGACCAGGATGTAGTTTTCAGAACAGAGTTGGGGAAAACTGCAAGGTTCAAAATTAGTGTCAGGGATGTGTCATGCCTCCATACCTTTTCAATATATATGCAGAACAGATAATTCTGGAGGTTGGGCTTTATGAGAAGGAATGTGGAATCAGGATTGGAGGAAGACTCTTCAACAACCTACATTATTTAGATTACACAACCTTGCTTATTGAAACTGAGGAGGACCTGAATCACTTACTACAGAGGGTTAAGGACTGCAGTCTTAAATATGGATTGAAGCTCAACATCAAAAAGGCAAAGATTCTCACCACTGGGCCAATTAACAACACCATGATGGATTCTTGTTTCCACAGTAGACAATCTTAGTGCCAACAGTCACGAAATTAAAAGACGAATTATGTTAGGGAAATCTCATGTCAGTGATTTCTCCAGAGTACTGAAAAGCAATAATGTCAGTCTAGAGACTAAGGTGTACTTGATCCAGGCCATGGTTTTCACAATTACTTGCTATATACATCAGAGAGCTGGGCAATGACTAAGGATGAAAGAACATACCATGGACTTCCAAGAAAACAAACAGAGTATACTTAAAGACTTTAGAGGAAATGAAAAGTATTTCTAAATTTTACTGTGTTCATGGATTTAATAGAGTGTGAACAAAAATATTGAAGACACATAATATACATCTTTATTTATTCTTAGAAATTTGAAATAAGATATAGCAATGGAGGTTAGTAGACTACTAAAGAGTTATTTCTGCACTGACATTGTATAATATGTGCATTTATAATCTCACAATTTAACAAACAATGGTGAAATTGCCTAGAACAATTTTACTTCCATGAAATATTTTGATCACTCTAGATATAATTTAATATTTAATATTTGAGCCAATGAGTTTGTTCTTTGATTTTCTCCACTATTGTTAACTACAGAGCAATGAAATATTGTGTTTCTGGATTGAAAGATTCTGAGTATAGTCATTATCATAGTCATTATCTACTCAAATTAATAAAAGTAAATCAATTCTGTTTATAAATTAAACAGCAGCATAATAGAGACATTTTTAAATTTTCAAGAATTTAGATTTACTATGAGCCAAAATCACAGCCCATCGATGCTGCAGGAGACCCAAATGTGAACATACAAACATGTCTCTTTGGGAACTAAAGTGCACCAGATTGAAGATGTGGAATTTATAATTTTATTTTGTACATGAGAAAGTTGGAAAATGAGAAAATAAGATCTTCTGAATTGTACTGCTTGTGAAGAATATGAAATACCTCTAAATTGTAGAAAAATAAACAAATGTATTATGGCAAAGTGTTCATTAAAAATGATGATGACAATACTTCACCTCATATATTTTTGGCACAAAATTAGAAGGGATTAGTTCTTAGAGAAGGGCATCATGCTAGGTAAATCAGAAGGCCAGTGGAGGGGAGGAAGATCTTCATCAAGATAGATTGACACAGTGGCTTCAGCAATGAGATGGAAAATAGCAATAATTCTGAGTATGAAACAAGACTGGTAAGTGTTTTGTTCTGTTATGCATATATCCACTATGAATAAAAACCAATACAAGGCCACTTCGCAACAAAAATAAACCTAATTATTAGTATTTTTTAAAAACAATAATGTATTTGTGTAACAATATAAAGTCTATTGGGAAATATTTTAGCAATGTGATCTAATACTAAAAGTAGCAACATGTAACCAATTTTGTTACCACTGTTGTTGTTGTTGTTTGCTGTCAAGTCAAGCATGACTCATAGCATCCATAAGAATGAAATGTCTAAAGACTTTCTATAACTATCCACAGTACTTTGGAGAGGTGTGATAGCAGACTTTCCCCAGTGCATTTAGTCTTTTAATTTCCTGGCTGCTGGTACCAAGAGTGTTAATTGTGGAGCTAAGCAAATTGTATCTTTTAACAATCTCAATCTCTTCATCATCTATCATAATGCTGCCAATCAGCCTAGTGGTGAGAATCTTTGTATTCTTTTTTTTTTTAATTAACTTTTAATGAAAATTTACAGAGATTTT